TCTGCATTTCATTTGTAAAGAGGAAGTTCTGTTCAGCTTTTTCCCCTAAGAACTTCTACTCAAACTCTCATGTGGATGCTTCCCTTAATATTACAATCTTAACCTCTTATCACTTGCTATCTTCCTTATCCTTATGATCTTCACTTCTTCCTACCTTATCTTACATTCAAATTAACACCTCATACAGTTATCCTCTACTATAAATGGCTTTTGAGCCTTGTATTGGGTGAACTTTAGCATAAAGAAAAAATTCAGTATCAATCCTTCTATATGGTAGTGAATGTTGGACAATTTCTTTACAGATTTAAAGAGACTTGAGTTAGAGAATTTTCTACAGTAGAATGCTGGGAATATCATGGATGGGACATGTGAGCAACAGGGAAGTTTGAAGAAAAATAGGAACAAAAAGATGACATGACAAGGATAGGAAGGGTTAGTAAAGAGACAAAGAGGAAAGAGGGCTTGGAGTAATCTATTTGTATTGTAGTAAAGAAAAGAAAAACTGTAAACTTATATTAGCAATAAACACCTGCAATAGGTTTCTGTTTTACTACTGAAATTGCTAGATGTAACTAAATTCTATGTCAATTTCTTCCCTAGCACTTCTTGTGGAACTTTCTTGCAGGTTCTTATTTTCCTGTCAACTATGATGTTCAAAAATTTAAATGTAACATCAATCATCATTCATCTCCTTGAAGCCTGTTCTTTTATTGTCCTTTCTGTTCAATGTTTTCCCAATTTCATTCTTACTCAGTAACTCCTTGCATCTTAGTGGCTTTATTGCCAGATGTGATATGGCACATAAAAGAAGAAATGCTTTATTTGCTGCAAGGTAATCCATTATTATGCAAATCATTCTATTAGTGATTAGAAATAACAACTAAGTTGTCATGGCTGGAAACGTTTGCGCAATAGGATTGTCGTTATGGCAGTAGCTACTACAAAAGAAACAATGGCTAAAAAGTGATCTGGATTGTGAAAAGAATTTTGTTGTTAAGAAATTTGATATGTATATTTAAAAAAACAAAACAAAAACAAACTAAGTTTATCATCATTCACCCATGCTTTGAATATAGTTACCATATAGTTTGGTGCTCCTACCAAATACTTTGATATTTTTGATCAAATCCAATGATTAATCAACAATGTTATTGGTCCTAACCTGGCAATCTTGGTTTCAGTCCCTTTCCAACTTGAATTTCTTGAGAGCAAACAAAGGTCTAAACATTGTCAGAAGACAGAAAGCAAGGCTGTGAGCAAAATAGAAATTCTGTTGTTAAATGGGGCAAGGAGTGGCTTGTCATTTTTAAAGTCTCCAAAATTAAACTCCTCTCTTTTACTCATCTGAGAGAACCCTTTTTATCTTCCATCAGCATGGCTGATGCTAACCTCCAGGAGAGTGACTCATTTTACCTTCTCAAACTAATGTTTTTAGCTGACAAGAAGTGGAAAGAGTATATTGAATCAATTGCTAAGTCTGCAGCTAAGAAAGTTGATTCATTATGCTGTGCTAGACAATTTTCTCACCAGAATCTTACATATTGAAAACTTATTCCGTCATCCATTTACTCATCTCACCAAGTAGGTTATGCATTGTTTTACTCTGTCCCTCTTGCCTTCAATCTGTCCTGTGAGTATCAGATTTTCTAAGTCTTTTTTCCTCATTATGTGCCCTAGAAATTTCAACTCTTTTCCTGATGTTAAGTATAATTTTCTTTCCTTCTTTAGAAACACATTTCTGTTGCTTCAAGTCTCTTCATCTTTCAGGAGATTGGCCAACATTCACAGCCATATAAGGACTGATATTACATGACAGTCCAGTACTGTTTTCCTTGTTTCTAATGAAATCACATTTAACAAACAATTTATGGAAAAAAATGGCATGAAGGGGGTTAAGTCTGTTGAAATTCTCCCAGTAAGGAGTGACATGTGCAACTTTGTGCCTATTTATTTAAAAAAAAATAATTGCAAAACATTGGATTTAAGTTGAAAATGTCAGTATTTTTTATCACTACATTTTCTAATGCAAACTATTATGTAAGCTGTTAAGATCGGTCATGCCATGCATTTCCTAATGCAAACTATCACGTAAGCTGTTAAGATCTGCCATACCATGTACACGGTGGCGAATCATCCTCATCTTATTCATATTGCCTAAGAAGGAAGTTTCATTTGGTGAGTGTGGATGTGCAGGTGGTGTAACTGATAGAGTCTTGGAATTAGAAAATGGAGAGCTGAGTGAGTTCCAGTTGTATTTGTTACATTCACTTATGCACAAAAACCCTTGAGAAAGGTAGAAATCCATTTTCTCCCCCTCATATGGGTTAAATAGTAGCACTCATATAAGGAAAAATAACTAAAAAAAATACAGGAAAAACAAAAAAATGACAGGAAAAAAGGAGGAAACAAAAACAGAAAAAAACTTAATGTCATTTTCACTCACAAAAATAAATTATTTTACAATCCAAAATAGGGCCTTCAAAAATTTAAATGCAATCAGTCATTATCTTATGTCTTAATTTCTGTTTTTTGTCCTTTGTCCTTAATGCTATTACTTTTTCTTATATGCTCTCACAATGAGTAGCCCCCTTGCATCTTAGTGACTTTGCTTGGCAGGGAAATGATTAAAAAAAAAAAAATAAAAATAAAAATAAAAACAAAAAAATATATGTCTATATTTCTGAGATGAGGTATTGTAACTATTTACATTGTTTGGACTGTTGTTCTCATTTTTGTTGCCATATTCACAACATTTTGGATGTTGTATGCACCGAGCTTACAGGTGATTGGAATTTCAAACCAAGCTCTTTATTTTGTCCACCAGTGTAGATTGTTCTAGTTCCATGTGCCATGCCTCTTCCGGAAATCTCAGTATTAGTTATTTCCCTTTAACTCAAGTCTTTTGCTTACCTCTGCTGTAGACATATATTGAATGTACAACTCTTTGGGCCAACTCACTGGATTACTTCAACCAATGCTTTTAGCCACTGGGCAATGTGTCCTCGAGAGAGAGAAAAAAAAAAAAAAAAAAAAAAAAGAAGCTATTCCTCATCTTCCAAGATTGACGTTTACATTGCTCACCTCCTCCCCATGTCTTGAAACTTGGGGGAAACACGGGTTTTGTCCGAGTGCAGACCAACAACAGACATGTACTGACTATACTTAAACACTACAATTAACTTGACTTGTACAATTATTTCCCTAAATGAACAGTCACGTAGGACTTTGTGGATTTCTGGGGACACGAGTAATGAACCTGAGATGGACGACAAGAAATCAGGCTAAGGATTGGAGTTTATTTTAGACAGAAGACTGAATTAGAATGACATTTATTCATAAATGAATTGATTTTTATAAACAAGCAAAAAAAAAAAAGTTGTCAATTTTTCTTTTTTCTTTTATTCACCAAGTTCATTTCTCTGTTTCTGTCTATCATTTTATCTGTTCAGAGAAATCTACTTTTAAAATCTATACATCAATCTCACTTTATTCATTTATCTATTGTAGTCAGCTCATCTGTCTCACTCCACACCTACCTATCTATGCAACACTGCTCATCTACTTTGAGATATATATATATATATATCAATCTATTCATCTATCTATCTATCTACAAATTCACTTAGTCCATCTAGCCATCTATCTATACACGTCGGTCCATCTAGTCATGTCATTCTGTCTGTCAATCTATCGGTTCATCACTATCTCAGTTAGTTTATACTCCATTCATTGCTCAAAATATGGTCTTTTTTATGTGCAACCTCCTTTTACAAGATTTACAATCATAGCACACATTTCTTTTGTGACTTATAGTTCAACTAATTATTTATATAAACTAAAGTAGGCCATTCATTGTTGCCCTTGTGTTTCTTTTGCCTTCAGCATCTCTTGTGTGTCGAATTCTCCAAGCCCTCTTTCATCATTATGCGTCTCAGAAGTCTCAGCTGCCTTTTGCCAATTTGTAAGAGTTCCCAAAATATCACAAGAGATTATAAACTTGCTTTGTTTAATAATTGTTCCTCCAATATAAGGCCTAAGAGTCATGCAATGTAGAGTTAGTAATATTAAAAATGGGTGGGGAGTAAGACATACAGATTACAAGGATATGTAGAAATGATAATAGTGGATACTAGACTTGAAAAGGTTAAGAATGTAGTAATTGTGGAACACTCCTGAGAGAATGCTTTTACCAAAGTAGGAATTCTTGGGAAGCTGTCCTATTGGAAATTCCTCTTACTACTGGAATACAAAGAGAATGACGATGATTTGTTGCTGTCTACATGGCATGGTGGGTCTTAGATGTGAATGTCTGAACTAGTGGAATGGAGCTCATCTGAACATTTGCCATGGAAATAGCAATAGAGTAGCAAAAGGCTTGCAATGTTGTATCTATGGGAAAGAGGCTGCAGATTGGAGAATATGGCTTCCCTCATAAGACTGTGTAAATGTCCTAGTTGTAAAGGTCTGAACTGGTGGAACAAAAGAATGGCGATCATTTGAACATTTGCCATGGATATAGTGATAGAGTAGCAAAAGGCTTGCAATGTTACCTCTGCGGAAATGGAGCTGTAGTGTTATAAGTGGGTAGCTTCAGCCCAGATATGGCAGTAGTACTCCATTTTTGGTTTGATCCAGCTCTTGTAAAGATAGAACAAAGTAGAAGGAGCTGGGTACTTTCTGGAGGAATACAAAGAATTGGTTATTTTTTCCAGCATTTTTCGTGATGGATCATTTATGTGAGTTCCACTTGCACTCTGAGGTGAATTTGTGTCCCAATAGGCAAAGAACGTTATTGAGACTACAATTGTTTATTGTGAGAGGTGAAAATTCAGGGTGTGGTTTAAACTTCTAATTGCTTGTCTAAGAAGTTTATTAAAAAGTTATTGTGTTGTTGCTTGCTGCGATTATTTTCAAAGTTTTTGAACATGGTTCATAACCTATAAAAGCAGTCAGGTCTGCCTGTGTCAGGTTATTTAATAAACTGGTCTCTTGTATAACTTCTAATAAGGAAGAAAAGGAGAGAAAAGAAAGTACAAAGTAAAGAGAGGGTGAAGAAAAGATGAGAGGATAAGAGAAAAAGAGAGGATGAGGAGAGAATGAATCGAAGAGAGAAGAAAGAAAAAGAGGAAGGCTTTATAAATACATTATCTGGCAAATTTATTTCAAATCACTATGTTTCGTTAAAATGCATTAAGTAAAATAAATAAAAAGTCAACTTTTGTGTTAATTAGATGAAATTGTATAATACACACAAAAATAATTTCATTAAAATAAGTAATTATATATACCAGGAACTGTTTTCTAAACTCAACTGGTAAAAATTAAAAAAAAAAAACAAAAAAAAAAAAAAAAAAAACAAACTTAATTCAATTTCTTTCCCCTCAAACAAAATAAAATATGAAACATTTCTTGAATAAATCTCCACTACCAGAAGCACAGATCCACGCAAACAGGACAAACATGAAATATAAATTGGTTTAGGGAAAATATGATTGGGTTCGATAAGTTAAAAAAATTAATTAGAGATTGGACAAAGAATGTCTTGGGTTTTTTGCTAAGTTTCTCAGTGTTGAATGTTGTTTGATTTCTGTTTGAATGACTTGGATGAAGAGTTATCATTATTTACACATTGACTATTGTCCCCAGCTTGTTGTAGATGAGATATTCCTAGATGTGGACAATGAAACGATTAAAAAAAAAAAAAAAAAAAAAAGATAAAATCAATATTAACCAAGACTAATAATGAGTATCAACAAACAACAGCTCGACATTTAACCTTTACTACACGAATTTCTTTCTAAAATTATTCTCCCTGCCACTGCATTTTTTGAGGGTGCAAAAACCTGAACACCTGCTGTTTTAAAATTAATATAACTTTCTTTGTATTGTGTGTATAGATTTTAATTTTTATACATTAATAAAAGAATGAATGAGTTGTATAGTTATCATCTTTGATCATTTTATTGTCAATATCTACTTGAGTAAAGCCTTCAAAATCATCATCAGAGTCTTAAAGAAAAACTACTGAATAAAGTCTTTGTTGGATTTTGATGTGGCCAATTTTGTTTATAAAAGAATAGCGCAAAAATTAACATGGGTTTAATTAGTGCTACATCTTGTGTAGAGGTTGGAAAACGGAAGTTTCAACTTCTTCCAAAACTAGGCAATTTCCAGCTTAAATACCAGAAATAACACTTAGGCAGGTTAGGTTTAAAGCACCAAGTTCTCCACACTCAGGAATGTCCTCTAGGACAGAGGATTAAACCATTGTTTCATGAATTTGGTTACATGAGTTCAGTCCCTAGTCAGGGTGTTATTGATTTAGACTCAGGTGAAAATGAGATGAGCAATAACTGAGCAGTACTAAATTAGAACTGGACAAGATATCTCTGGGTATGAATAGAATGCAAACAATCTACATCTCTAACCCTAAGTAGATTAAATAAAGGGTTCTGTTCAAAATTCCCTAAAAAAGTTACCGAGATTGACAATGGAAAGTGAAGACTGTGCAGCTCCAACACATACATGGCAGAAGTACTTCATTTTCAGCCTTATCTGGCTCTTTGTAATCATGTTTTAGCCATTGTGACACCAGGCCTTAATCATGAGATTGACAATTGGTGAATGCAGCTATAATCCTTGTCTTTAGTTCATCTACGGTGTTACAAGGAGTTTTGTTGGTCAACCGTGCCCCACACATAATCAAGTGGGTTACAGGCTGGCCAGATGTAAGGGGTGATGTGGTTGCAGAAAGTGTCTGACAGCCATGATTGGGTTCTCTTGCTTATGTGGCATGAGTGCAGAGTTCTATTGTCAGACATAGGATCTTCCAGCAGCCACCCTCTTGACCCAGAGCAGCACTACTTTCTCAAGGCACTTGATGAAGGACTCCGTGTTGAGTCAGAGGCCCTGTGGAAAGATGAATGGAGGCATAATGTCGCCATCACGAGTGATCACTCCAAACACCTTCGTAACCACAATTAGACTCACTCATCCAACTCTCTCCAAATTCTCTGCACTGTCCTCAGATTGACAGGCAAAAACTTCTGTAATGTTTGTATTGAAGCTTCCGGCATGAATACCAAGCAGTATAATCATCTGGTTGTTTTTTTTTTTTTTTGAATACACGTTTTTTTGAGAAACGTCAAACCGACTTCTTCCATAAAATACGTGAAAATTTCATGGTTTTCTTATTTTAATTTCCTGATGATTATTAATTTAAATGATTGAATAAGCTCCTTGTTTGACGACTATAAAATACGCACGAAAATTCCCCTATCGTCTCCTTAAATATTTGTGCTGAACAACTATAACAGATATTACAATAATAGATATAAATGATATATAATATAAAAGGCTCAAACACTAATATTCCATGGTTATAATTTATTATATTGGAATCGTAATTACGATCCAATTCATCAGACCTACAAATTCAAAAAGAAATTGGAAAATATAACTCCAAGTATAAAAAACAAGGAAAATTTTTTTTTTTTTTTATACCCGGAGTTATATTTTCCAATTTCTTTTTGAATTTGTAATTACGATTCCAATGTAATAAATTATAACCATGGAATATTAGTGTTTGAGCCTTTTTTTTATTATATTCTTGCGCTGTCCTGGACATTGACTTCTACCTGGATTCTATTCTCTTGGGAATTTATATATATATATACATTGATCACTAATACTATCTCTCTCTATTATATATATATATATATATATAGTCATCCACAGACAAACTGTTTTGTTGTATTACAGCTCATCAATGTAGCGAGACAACCGATCGCTTCAGGTTGGGACCGAAACACGGCCGATTTGGTATTGGTTGGATATTCTAACGCATAGGCCATAGATGCCTAGCAGGGAAAAAGGTGAATTTTTTCGTATTTATTTTTTCATAAACACACCAGTCACTCAGAGAACTCAATTGCTAGGAGAGTCTTGCATTATCAGCAGTAATAGTGTTTACAAATTCGTTCTTTACTCCCCACAGTGCTAGACCGATTATATTATTTTATCGAGAGCTAATATCGTCATCCACAGACAAACTGTTTCGCTGTATCACCACTCATTAGTATGGCTAGACATCCGATTGCTTCAGGACGGCACCTAAATAATACAAATGTGCGAAAGAACAAATGGAGGTCAGAGATTTTTTTTTTTTTTTTTTTTTAATAAGAATAGTAAACAAATAAAATTCAACTTATTTTCCTGACTCAAAGTTTCACAGAAAGAATAACTGCTTGTCAGGTGTTAAAAAGTAAGTTAAATAAAATAAGTAAGTAATAAATTTAATTAAAATAAAAGTAAGTAAGTAATAAATTTAATTTTATTATTCAACCACAGAACTGCAGATACGATTTTTGTGAAACTCAGACAGGGAGATAAATGGAACTTTTTTTTTTTTTTTTAATCATTTCACTCCAAGCAAGGCGATAATGCCACAAAGACGCCGAGGGTTACTGGGAGAGAAACAGAAGGAAACCCAATCATAAACAGGAAACAAGGAATACACCTCTACTCCTGTTCAAAAGACACGAGAGAAGTGTGAACTAGATGATAGACAAACCTATCTACTCCTATTTTCAAAAATAATTGTAAATAATAAAAAAAAAAGTTCAGCGATGTAGGCTGAAACGTTTAGAAGTATAGGATTTGAAATAGACTTTAGAAGGAACCGGAAACCCAAACAGGAAACAAGGGAAAAACCTACTTTTGTTCAAAAGACCAGGGAGGAGTGTAAACCGAGTTTGAGTTTGTCTTGGCCGTCAAGTACCAACAAACCTTGACAATATGGTCTATTTGAAATGAAAAAGTTTGCCGAGCTCCGATCAATAACTTTATCTCTTGAGATGGCTGCATTTTTTTTTTTGTTATACTAACTTCAGTCATTAAATTCAATGATTAGCCCGACCTTACCTCCATCCCAAATTTTCTAGCAAATCAGAATACTGCTCGTCCCTTAGTTAGCCAGCGTGTCCGTTACGCACGTTCATTACCTCAGATAAACAATGTGACATTCCTGTTTGATTGTGAGTATAGATGGAAGAAAAGGTGGTTTGGTTTTAGAGAGAAAGAAAGAAGAGAAAGAAAGAGAAAATAGCGAAGGCAGTAACACCCGTGTTTAACATCATGGAAATGGGAAAACCTTGTCAGTTTTTTTAATCTTTTCATTTCTAACCTTTTTTACTTCTTTAATGACCAGCCTTCATATTTATTAATATTGTAATGTTCCGTTTAAGTTGTTTAGCACAAATATTTAAGGAGAAAACAGGGGAATTTTTATGGGTATTTTATAGTCATCAAAAAAGCAAGAAGCTTATTCACAGATTGCGACATCTATCAGAGAGATGCAATTTAAATTTTTATTATTGCATTATTCTAAAATTTTAACACATCAGCTCAACAACTGAGCACAAACTGTTATTAATTAAAAAAATTAGTAATTAATGTATAATATTATCCATAACTACAGGTACAAGAATGTCGTTTTAAATAAAAGTTAAAAAAAATAGCCATAAATACGTTAAAAAATGCGTATGTTGTCGAAAATTCCTTTTTCCACAATATAGCTATTTTTGCTATGTTAATGCTTATTATCTCTAAACAATAATAATACTGAATACTTTTTTTAAAACATTAAAGTATATTTAATCACATCTCCCTAGCTTTCGCGATCTGTCAATTATTTAAATTAAGAATTAAGATTCACCAAAAAATGAAAATAAGAAAACCGTGAAATTTTCTGCGGACTGTCAGTTTTTTTTTTTATTTTAAAATGATTATTACGTTCTCAGCAGCCAGCCATTTTGTTAAACTTTTTGACCTTTTCAAATTTTAAATGTCATCTGACATTTGAATAATCAGTGACTCCTTCCAAAGATTTAAGTAGATCTGCGGATGCTTCCTTCATTGAGTTCCAGCTTTAGTAAATGCGTAATTTAATTCCCCAACCTTTATTTGAAAAGGTCTAACCGCATATATCGGACTAAATAACTACACAGAATTCCGTTTCGTTGTCTGTCGCCTTAGCGTTGAAATAGAATCATTTGTATTCTTTATTTGAAAATTTGAACAAATAAAATATCACACAACAATGGGAGAATATGTTGAATGAAAATCTGTTTAGCTTTTTGAAAGAGTATAAGAAATGGTCTGATTATCCTTCCGTCAGGCTCTTACATATTTCGATGCTGAAACAATATGGGAAGACCAGAGAATAATCAAAGGAAAACTTGGGGGAAAATTAAATAAAATCAATAAATAAAGCATTAACAACGAATTGTAGAGGACTGTGTGGGGTTACGTGTTGATGAATTAGAAACACGTGCTGTTTATTCCTGCTAAAAGAAGGTCCAACTACAAGAACATGTCAAGTTGTTCAACCGAAGATGTAAAGAAAACAAGAATATATATATATATATATATGGTTGGATAGAAAACAAGCAATATATATATATATATATGGTTGATAGAAACAAGCAATATAATATATATATATATATATATATATATATATATATATATATATATATATGGTTAGATAGAAAACAAGCAATATATATATATATATATATATATATATATATATATATGGTTGGATAGAAAAACAAGCAATATATATATATATATATATATATATATGGTTGGATAGAAAACAAGCAATATATATATATATATATATGGTTGGATAGAAAACAAAAATATATATATATATATATATATATATATGGTTGGATAGAAAACAAGAATATATATATGGTTGGATAGAAAATAAGAAAGATATATATATATATATATATATATATATATGGTTGGATAGAAAACAAGCAAGATATATATATATAAAACAAGCAAGATATATATATATATATATATATATATATATATATATGGTTGATAGAAAACAAGCAATATATATATATATATATATATGGTTGGATAAAACAAGCAATATATATATGGTTGATAGAAAACAAGAAAGATATATATATATATATATATATATATATAGAAAACAAGCATATATATATATATATATGGTTGAATATTATATATATATATATATATATAAAACAAATATATGTATTAAACAACAAATTCACAAATGACAAAGACATCAATGTTTGTGTGTGAACGTAAAGAGTTTGTATACTGGTGAATGTTTCTTCGTAAGTGTATGTATGTTTCATGGCGTTTTCCCACAAAGAGATCACATTTTTAAATGTGTCCGCTGAAATGCAAAGCAGAAAAGAGAACGAGAAAAGAAATCGCCCAGTATTTATAGTGTAGGGAAAACGCACCCTAGTGAAATATTTGGACAATTAAGGAGGCGTTAACTCCGACAGAATAATAAAAAAAAAAAAGAAAAATACATTTTTCCATGATGCCAATAGTAAATTGGCTTCGAAAAACGCTGTTAGGTGGCGTTGTTGAAGTCTCTAAAGAAACGCAACCATTTCCTGCCTCGCTTTCTCCTCTTTGCTCCAAGATGTGAACCATGTAGGAATTATGTTCCCACTAGAGGATTTTAGTTTCCTCGATTCACTGACGACTGAACTCTTTTCCACTTTCCAACAACGTCGTTCGGAAGTGTTTCAGCAGCTCGACTCATGGAGTAAGTGAATTGGTCGTTCTAACTCGGCGCAAAGCTGACCCGAACTCGAACATTTTAACCATTGTTATCCTAACTTCTGAACCAAAAAAAGAAAACAGACATACAAAAGAAACATTGAGAACATTTGTTCGCTACAATCACTATAAAAGGTAATAAACCTCTGTAGAAGAAACTTAAGTTTTTGTATGCTTCTATCTTCCTTGTTTACACATTGAACACGCACCTTCACCCAAACCTTATGACCATTTGGCTTACAATAATCTTTTACTTTCCTGAAGGAATAAGAAAATGCTTGAACATCAGTTAGTGGTGTCCATGCATATTTCAATAAGTTCTTTTTGAATTTCTGGGACTATGTGTTATCATTTACATTCAGACTATTGTCTTTATCTTTGTTATCACAGCGTTTCGGCTGTTGCGACATCCGAAGAAATCAGCACATATGGCTAGACTATGAAGGCCTCTTCAGTAGGCCTGGCAAATAAATAAGATTTGGGAGTCATTAAGAAGTAAATAAATAAAATAAAGAGAAAGGAGAACAAGGCTACCGCTGAAATACGAGAGAGAGAGAGAGAGAGAGAGAGAGCGAGGGAGGGAGAGGCAGATGGAGAGAGAAAAAAATGAGAGAGAGATGGAAAAAAGAGAGGTAGCGCAAGAGAGGTAGAGAGAGAGGTAGAGCAAGAGAGGTAGAGAGAGAGGGAGAGGGGTGGAAAGTGAGAGAGAGAGAGGGGGTAGGAGAGAGGAAAGTGAGAGAGAGAGGGGGTGGAAAGTGAGAGAGAGAGAGGGGTGGAAAGTGAGAGAGAGAGAGGGGAGGGTGGAAAGTGAGAGAGAGAGAGGGGTGGAAAGTGAGAGAGAGAGAGAGAGAGAGGAGAGAGAGAGGGGTGGAAAGAAACTTAAATCATTATGCGCCAGACGGATGTCGCACCACGCAAGCACGAATCACCGACATTTTGTATAAGGTAAATTCTGAAAAATCCTTGTTTTTTCTTTCCTTTGAAGCCATACGCTGGATATAACAAGTACAACAAGACGAGATATCCGTAATCATAGACAGCGGAAAGAGAAAAATCTAGCCCAGAAGATTAAATAACGGGTTCAGTTCGAAATTCCCTGTAGGTTACCTGGATCAACAGACTGTGGGCACAACGGGTGAAAAAAAACCCATAGAATAAGATATTAGTCCGAATGTAAATAATGCATATTTCGATGTTTAAAGAATACATGAAGAATATAATCAAATGAAATGTCTAAAATAAAATATAATGATAGCGATAAAAATAGGAAAAATACAAGGTCCACTCGGATAATGTCCACTTCAAGACAGCCATTTGTCACCATTTTAGAATGATACAAGACAATCATATGTTAGGCCAGTAATGATGACCCGACCTCACTACTAACCATTACTCAGTGATAGAGTATTATGTCTGATATTTACTAACCCAAGTACGGCACAAGGTCACTACTATAGCGCACCTACTATGGGTGATCGATCTCATGTTTTCTGAGACTAGTTTTCTAGCTATTGTTCAGGAGGGCGAGTTGAAGCTTCACTTTCAACATTGCACACCCTGTAAAAGCTGGGGGTTGATGAGAAGTACTGACACCAGATATTCAGAGATTTCATCAATTTTTGAGCATTTAGTTTTAAAGATCATCTGAAAAAATGTAAAGAAATACCAAATTTTCACAGTTTTTTGCTTACAAACTGGCTTCAGAATTTTACTATTTCAAGAATAAATCCAAATAAAGTTGATATCTTTTGTATTAGATAAAATTGAATTAAAAATATATTCAAACCAGAATTCTAGTTATGAATCACCACAAGCAATTTTTTTTACAGTATTCGATAAGTAAAAACTGTAAAAAAAATAAATAAATAAAAATAATAGAAATAAAAAATAATTTAAGAAATATTTTTAATTTAAATTTTTTTTTTTTACAATAAAGGCTATTTATGCTATGAATAAGATTTGTTAGATCATAATTAATAAAAAAACAAAAAAAAATAGCTAAAATTATATATAACACCATAATACTGTTGGGCACAAATTGTAAGACAAAAGGCTTTTAAATTCGCATTGTTTATTAAAAATCACACTAAAACTCCTGCACTGTATATAACATATCACATCCTAATATAATTAAATTGTTCAGTATAATTTCCCTTTGAGGTAAATGGAGGTCTTATTTGATGGCAAAATGATTTTGTAATAATGTGCTTGTGCCATGTTTCTTGTCCATATGCAGTTAGTAAAGCTTCAGTAAATTATAAATTTATATAAGGCTGTGCTATAAGGTTTTCACTGATCACCGGAATGAAATTCCAACGATACAATTTGAAACCTAAACTTAATATTTTAACTTGTTTCCTCAAAAAAGACAAAAAAACCCGGTAATGATCTGGAACCGAATATTTTGTGTCTTTCTTTATTATGAAAAACCCCAAATTTCGAATTGAGTGCAATACCACGGTTCAAAAATCTACCTGCTCTATAGTTCAGTGATGAAGCATCATATTCATATCTGCTAAACGTTTGCATAACACAAGGCTCAAAATGTAGGGTACCTAATGAAGGAGCGACCTCACTACTGTAGTAAATTTACGGTCATGATGTATCTTAAAACGTGCGTATGGGTCCGGGTTACACCCGTGTATGTAAGCACTTACTTGAAAGTTGTCTCTGTTCGGGGCTGTCTTAACATTCAACTGTGGATCCAGTTGTTTGTATTCTAAGACGGGTGTCAAACATGAAGCCTGTCACCCATAGACTACCTTTCTGCGGCCCGGGGATTGGAACCTTAGAGGTGAACAATATTTTTCTCGAATTTTAATAAGTTTTAATAAATTTGTCCCTTCTAGCAGTATTGTCCTTGACGTGTTCATCAAGTGCAAACAGACGATCAATTCCAAGGCCAGCAAGGTCCATTCTATTCCTCTCCAATGAAGGAGGCCAGCAAGGTCCATTCTATTCCTCTCCAATGAAGGGAAGAAAACTTAACCTCCCCACCACCATCTTACGAAACGGTACAAATGTACTTTTTTTTTATTTAGATTTTATTTAAGTTACTTTTTTCATTTTATAAGTAACTAGCAGTATAATCCGCCTTCGACCGGGAATTTTTACCGTTCAATTGGAGCAGTTTAAGTTTAAAGTCAGCCCACCCGAAAATCAATATTAGTAACAACAATTGGATGCAACTGAGGGACATCTCCAAATTGGAGGGGGTTAACAATTTGAGGGGGGCTGAAAAGAACCGTTTTTGCGTTCTCAATCTTGTTTCAGTCTCACCCACAGCAGCAGTTGAATAGGTGTTTCTTCTCAGCCGTTGACCCCCTTTGATCATCATTTTCAGCCTCGCGCGGAGAAGCGTTCAGTTATGCTCTTCTGGAAAGCCGGTGGCTACGTTGATCTTCGGACTCAGTGGCTCTGATTGAAGCATTCTGAGAGGCATTTTGAGACAGGTAAACTGAACGTTCTAAAGACGATTTTGTAATTTTGACTCAAAACCGGCACTGAAGAATTATCTATCAAACAAAATTTTTTTTATCGAAATCGGATGAAAACTGTAGAAACCCATAAACAACATTCGATCACACACCCACATACATACATACATTTTCAGAATTATAGATATAGATAATAATATTGTAATAATTTAAAATATGTATTTTTAAAGTTTTTATGAAAGATACATATCCAAGAACAGTAAATAGTAAAACGTTGCTAAGAATTATAATGGACAGGAAGTAGTGGAGAGCCATTGTCGCCAACAGTTTGGACTCAAAACTGGCACTGAAGAATTATCTATCAAACAAAAAAAAAAAAAAATAAACGAAATAGGATGAAAACTGAGGAAACGCATAAACAACATCCGATTGAACACCTACACATACATACACATTTTGAAAATTATAGATATAGATAAATTCGACAAATTCACAATTTGACTAAAAGATTTTGTTTCTAAAAATTGTTAAAAGTGAAATAGCATTGGTGAGAAAACGACCAAAAAAAAAAAAAAAAATTATAATTACCAGCGCCCCCTCATTCATGCTCATTTGTAGTAGCATCAACGTAAACATCATTTTTAGTCCAATGAAGTCCTGAAAGTCGAAACGCGTCACATGAATACTTTTCCTACTTTGTCCTAAAATTGTTCTTGATATATCGACACTTTATTCGTATCACTGATGGCCAATAATTGAGAACGATGCCGTCGGGAGTTCTAAATTCCGTTATGGTCACCCTTAGCGGCATGGTCGAAGACGAGAACTCAGATTAAGGGCAACCAACCCAAAAGACCCCAACGGTGGAACAAACGAATGCTGATTACAACAGATCTCAACGGTTGTCCCTGTGCATGAAAAGGGCTCTGCATCACAGATATAACTATAGAAGACGCCACTCGAAATTATAACCGAGTCACCGGTAGTTCGTTGCAGTTTCATAACTAGATTCTACATGTCTCATTCCATACGTGCCGCAGAAGATGGTCATGAAATCAAGTGTGTGGATCACTTCCTGGCAAGTTGAGGTCAACCTTAAACAAATTCACACCATCAGCACTTTCTTCTTCAACCAAACCTAGCAAATCCAAACGACGACAAGGAATGATGACAGGAGCAGGTGTTGGTGAAATTTGAAGCTTCTAGTCCTGAAGCTGCACGTTGGCAGTGAACGTAGTCATCAACACCATCATATATATATATTTCCTAACAAGCTGAGGTCCACCTTAAAAAAATTCCTACCATCAGCATTTTCTTCTACTCTGATTATGTTTCACCTGCGATCAAAAGCCAAAACGGCGATAGGGAATGGATGACGGGAGCAGGTTTTGGTGAAACTGGAAGCTTCTAGTCCTATATGTTAGCGGTGAATGTAGTCATCAACACCATCATCATCATTATCATAAAAGAAGCAACCAGCAAAGAAGAAATTAAATTCTTGGATGCGAGATAAAGCCGCTAATGACAATAGATATTTATATATAGTTTCCACCCAAAATATGAGCCTGAGAGGAGGAGGCAAGGAGAAATCAAATAAATAAGAATGTTGTTCAGATTTTGTACGGAAGCTCGTAAAGAAATCCACTCTTTGACTGAGCAACGGAAAAATTGAAAATCTGAATACCGGTAACATTGACGTGATCAGTATTAAAATCACCAAACACACGGATGGATTGTCGGTCGGGGGGAGTGATTTCTATACTGTCAGATATGTTGTCTAATATATCACAATTCTGAAAAGAAGGGAAGCGATAATTGAAAAAGAGATTGCTAACAGAGTGCAATAAAGAAAGTCGAAAGCGCATGAAAGAATCATCCTAGGACTAAAACAATTCCTTTAACATTGAAGATTTTCCCAGATATAAACACTAACGCCATTTATCCTAGAATCTTTTTCGACAAAGAGGAAAATTAGCCTGGGACAGAATTCATAGAAGAATTTAAATTAATTTCGTAAAGTGTGAAGATATCTGGAGAACGTTCCAAGAAAAAAGATTCTACACGACAGAATTACGAATACCACAAATATTGGAGAAAGAAAGATTCGGTGTGTGTATGTGTGGGGGTGACTTTGTTTATTGGTTTAATCGTATTTCTTTTCATTGTAACTGTCATGAGAAGGTTCTGTCTTAAAGAGAAAAAGGCGAATATATAATTTTTACAGTGAGAGTCACCCTTTACAAGGCTCGGGGGCCATTCAAGGTAGAGGGTTACGTTAGGAGGCCATTAGTGTGTATAGGTGAGGGAGATAACCTATTCAAGGCTACGGTTAATCGTTAAGACTGTTCATAGTCTCAGGCAATACAAACCGGCCAGAAATTGGTTCAGAAGACTAAATCATAATGGGGACACGGGCTTTCCCCATTGGAATTACAAGCAGG